ATGTACTAGGCATGAAAAAGACAATGAAAATCTCACTTAAGAGAATTAATTAACATCAGAAATATATGCTTGCATATGTCTAAATATGAGAATATGGAACACTTATGCAACCAACAGAAATATATGCTTGCATATGTCTAAATATGAGAATATGGAACACTTATGCAACCAAGTAAAAACTGATGACATCACCAAAACTCAAAGGAAAAGAATCTTATCAATATAATTACCAAAATCATTTTTACTAATCCCCATTGAATAAAATGTTTCACATCCCTGATACAATAAAGTCATCTTCACCTTCAGCTGTTGTTCCATGAGGGATTCTTCATATCGCAACAAAGGCCTCCCTACCACACAAGGGAATACAGAGGTTGGAAAATTCTCTCCAGCAAAACCACATTTAACATACTGCAATGAAAAGTAGCAAGCCTCAGAAACCAATGAGAGATAACTCACGTTAAAACATCATAATTGGCATATCCTCCTAAATAATTGCTTTTCACATTTAGTTTTTTGCCTAGTTGAATACCATTCTTTTGACTGAAAAAGAAACCCATTCAACACACCAAAGGCTGCTGGCCATGTACGAAAATATTTACATGATAGGTTCGCTCAAAATATCTACAAGGTCCCAGAGACAACTCCATTCTTATTGTTTTACTATAGTCTAATTCCATTCTTGATATGTTGAGATACATCACAATTTTCATATTTGATATATATATCATACCAATTCAGCTCCTACTTTGATTTTTTTTCCATTTTTTAATATAGGTTTTGTAATGTGCTTGGACAAGAAATAATTTGAAATTCCGCTAACGTAAATAACCCCGTGGAATTATTCTTATCCAATCTTACCTCATTTCTACCGTATTCTTATTCCTAATCCATGGTCAATAATGGAGCCATTCCTTGCAGACAACAAACTAGAGCATGGAAAACTGAAAGCAGAGTAGTCATTCAAAACCACATAAAAGACCTGAAGTTATTTCCGTTAGTAATGGATGATTCAACTGGCCATTTAATTCTCAATCGCATCGCAGCCCAACTTTGCAGATTCTCACAGGCATTTTCACCCATGCGCAATAAAAAACTCCATAAATGTATCAGCGAATGCTTAAGCTTAACTTAAACACTTAAATCAGTTCAAATCCAACAAACCCCCAAACAGACCATATCAGATACAAACAGAATTTAAAATCTGAGCAGATCTAAACAGCGCATAATTGGTGATACCAAGCTGCGTAAATCTTAATTTCATTGCATATTTATAAAAAAAGAAAAAGATAGATATCTGATATCATGAACTTCTGTGGATGTAGACAAAAACGTTTAACGATGAAGAAATAAAAAGCAAATATAGGAGGGAGAAGGAGTACTCCGGTGCCGTTGTCGCATACGACGACGTTTCTATTATCCATATCCTGCTTGCCGATCCGGGTGCTCGTGCTTGTGCTCGTGCTCGTGCTCCTCCTCCTCTATTTCGTTGCATCGAACTGGTTTTCTTCGACAAAAATTACGTCTTCTTGAAGGAAAGACTTGAGCCTCGTTGGTCGGTCGCTGGTCAGAGCGGAATAGTTCATTTCTCAATACGACGTCGTTCCGGAAACAAATTATTCCTTTTCCACTTAATTTTAATTATTCATCTTTCAAACAATGATAAAAATAATTTTCCAATTGCTTTGAATCAATCTCTACATTTCCTTAAAATAAAAAAAGAAATGTTTGCTTAATTCCAATAATTTATGATAATTTAAAATATATATAAAAAAATAAATATTAAATTATTTTAAATTAATCTTTATTTTTATTGGTCTAACCGTCACCACTTATCTTATTTCATAACGTATTTATTTTTTCCTTGAAGCTTCAAATACCATATCCAACATCGTCGATGACTTCATCATAAATCTTGTCTTTAAATTTTCATCACTAACTATTTAAAAATAAAAAAATTACGACTATAAAATATTAATTTTCTATAAATTCTATTATGGTACCAGTGTATAACTAGAGATGTATCATTTTTTTAGAATATAAATAAAAACTAACAAAATCTTTCAGTTGTATGAGTAAATGCACAATGTTTTTTGTTTTCTATAATCAAAATATTTAAGTTATAAATTTTATTGAAATTTTGTGAGAGATTGACGAGAATATTACATTATTGAAGAAGATTTTTGACACTTTTAATGTAACACCCCTGAGTGTTTCAAAAATATCATTCTACATGTATTTTATTATTTTATATCAACGAATACATCAAAGACCAAAAGTTTAATATATATACAACTCATTGAGTCTACCTCAAGCAATTTTAGTGTTTCGATTTACAACTTACTATCCCAAGTAATAAATGAAAATTAATGACTAATATACTATCAATTTGTTTCCTCTAAGTATTGTCCCACTACCTGAGTTTTCAACTCCACTTTCCATTCTACTGCATCTGTAATGACATATAATGAGCACATAGCCCAGTAAAATAAATTCAGAGTTTCAACAGAGTATAAAAATATATATAGACTGTTAACCCGGTATCTTACCTACGCCTTCACCACCATTCTCCTCCCATTCCCCATCT